AGAGAAAGATATACTGTTATAATGTTTTTCAAAATATACCCCTTAGATAACAATAGTTTTCACGCGCAAATTATTGTTTAACAAGTTTCAAAAAATGTCTCGAGATAATCAAAGTCAACGGAGCTCGATACATCGAACTCGGAAATCTCGTAGCGGACATAACAATCGTAGTTATCGATCGATGCGAGTCACGCAATGGTATCCCTTGATAGTAATGGTGCTCGCGCTAGGTTCTGACAAAAATTCACTTTGAAAACAGTGTATAAAATGCAGAAACGGGTTAACTCGAGAACACTTGTGTTAGCCTGGAAGATGCTTCTTATGATAAGTGAAAGAAACGCATGGATCCTGGAGGAATATTACCGAGTGGCTTAGCTGTCGTATTTACGGAACAGAGATGTCTGCGCCCTGAGAAACGGACTGACGGACAGACAGACATCTCTGTCAACTTTCCCTGTGTTCTGATTCCTGATACGAAATGCTGTTTGGAAAATTCGGCAACTCTCCGGAGTGTGTTCTCTAGGTATATAATCACGATGAACAGAATTATATGAGTGATGAAGATTTGTTCTCGATCTCTCCTCTCGATACATTCTTGATGCTTATACGGTATACAATGGCTTGTCAAAGTATTTCAATACTCACTATACAAGACGTATTTACGTATATAATGTATTTTTACATAAAGTGTATTTTGAAATTTCATTAGTTATTGTAATGAAACACGACTGCCATCACGCCGGATAATATGAAATCAAAATATATGTATAAGTTATAAGTCTATTTAATAAAAAATTAGTATACAGTGTAAAGCCATCTTAAATATAAAATAAATGCTAGAAATATTCATACTAAATATAATAGATAATTTTATTATTTAAGTACTTCTACAATATCGATGAAGTGTTATATTTAATCAGTGAATATCTTGCTTGTTTTATACATAGTTTCAGATTTGTTTCAAATTTTATTAGAATCATGTCTCATTTTAGTGTAATTATGTTCGATTATCACAGTATCAATGAAATTTTCAAATGTGAAAGCATAATATATGCAGTATGTTATATATGAGAATTTTGTTACGAGCGTTTGAATACTTTTGTGAGCTATTGTACTTTAATCTCTATATATATTTTTACATTTATTTGAAATATAATCAATATTATCACCAATCGTGTCTTGTTACAGTGCTATTGAAATTTCAAAATGTGGAAGTATAACACGTGTAATATACACATAAAATGTTTCCACGACTGTATGAATATTTCTGTGATCCACTGTAGGATCCAGATTTTGTAAACGTAACCAACACTCCCAGCCAATAACGAAAATTACTCTCTACCATCTGTTTTTACTAATATACGATGAGAATATAAGAGGAATTGTATGATAAAAGTATGAAGAAAGCCTGTAAATGAGTTTTTGTTTTGAAAGAAAGAAGGTGAGAACCAATTTCCACTGCTAGAACAGCCACCGACTTAAAGAGGAGATAAAATTCACGTATCAACTCTGGCCGTCCTAACCCGATTTTAGTGTGTGTTATTCTGTTGTGCGCGATAGCCTTGTACCAGTACGTAGAGATGTTTTCGTCACCGGCATCAGTAGTGCGTGAGCCGTCAGGCTATGACTTTCAAAAAGAGGAGAATGCCGCCAAATGGAAGGGAGTGTTTGTCAATTCCTTGCGCAAGGTATTCCACTTAAATCATTTACTATGAAACTTGTAATAACTCTTTGTAAATTGATCTGAATTTGTGAGCTTTTGATGTTCATCAAGTTGATTCCACTGTCATTATCATATATATTTTCCAGCTAATACATTAGGTTTATTGTCTTCTAAAATAATAATAACATGTCATAATTAATGTGAAATAAATATTTTAGAAATTAACCATTGCTGTGTTGCTTCTATGATGATTGGTAATTTTATTTGAGAACTGTTTATATTTGCATCTTGAATAAAGGAAACTTTTTTTCATATATTGAATAATTTATAAAGTGGCAGAATATATTGCTTGTTCTTACTACCTAAAAATAAATCATGTAAATGGGAGATTTAATTTTATTGTGTGTTATCATTATTTATTATTCTACACATTAAAATATATTGAAGTTTATGGAATTTTGAAAAATTTTTTCCATAATGTATGAAATAAAATAAATACGATGTATGATAAAAATATAAACTACAAACAGTATCACAAATGTAAAAAAAGATACAAATATTGAGTCTAATAGGAAATTTAATTTATTTATTCAAAAGAAAAGATTCTTTTCTTAGATAATTAATTATTAATTATGCTTTTTGAACTGTGTACTTCATCAAGTACGCAGTTGCATCTTCTTTTTCAATAGTAATATAGTTTATTAAACATATAATCGAATTGAGGTAGTAAAATTATATTCTTTCCAAAAGACAACAGTCAAATAAATTATTTATTTGTTAATAAAATCCTATATATATTTTATCATCAATCAATCTTATGCATCAATATATTCTACAACATTGAAACAAGAAACATTTTTAATATAATACTACTGATTCTAAATAATAGTTTTCATAATTTAATGGTTGATTAATATAATATAGGTATTAGAACAAGTACATCCTAGTCTTGAAGCAAGACAAGATGCATTAGACTATGTTGAGAGTTTAATCTTAAGGCTATTGGGAATGCTTTGTGGACATCCTCCACCACACACACCTCAAGATGTAGAAGAAAGAGTAAGGCGTACATTTCCTACTCCCATTGATAGATGGGCACTCAGAGATGCAAGAGATGCCTTGGAAAAAGGAAAAAAGAAATCCCCATTAGTTCTTCCAGTTGACAAAATTCATCAACTATTACAAAAAGTAATTAGGAAACTAAATTTTTTACTATTTTTATGTTTATTTAAAGATATTATAATTTTGTATTTGTGTATTGACAGGAAGTATTACAACAAAAAATTGATTTACAAGTTAGTCTTTTTGTAGTAGGAGTGTTGGAATATATTTCTGCAGATATTTTGAAGGTTGGTAAAAATTATTATCAATTATTTTTATAAATTTTTTGTTTTGTTACACTTTTTGTTAATACTATACTATAATCTTTGTTAATCTTTTTGTTAAAACTAACTTCTAATTTCTAAGAATGTTAAAGACTATTTTCTTTTCAGCTAGCTGGAAACTATGTCAAGAATATACGTCATGTAGAGATATCTTGTGAAGATATAAGGGTTGCAATGTGTGCAGATATGGTAATATTATTTTTATAGCATAATATTATTTTTAAAGCATAATATTTGTGTCACATTTCTATTAAGGATTACCAGAAATATCGAAATCTCGAAATTTCTCGAAACCTAAGAAAGTTTGAGTTTTGAAAATTCGAAACTTTGTACGTTTTTCGCGATTCAAAATTCTTAATACTCGGATAAAAAAAAGTATAAAATCAAAGAATAAGATATCATTTGGAGCATGAATAAAGAATATTTGATTCATTCTCATATCTCAAATGTTTAATGCGAAATACTTTTAAAGCTAGAGTTAAATGTACGATCGATCGTAATTCTGAAACGATAATGTAAAATATCTAAATCTAATGAATCTATCAAAAAAATATCTTACTATTCTAAAAGATTTTTCGGATATTAATGTTCTTAAATGAGATCTGAATGTTTTTGTAAGTTGTTATATTTTCGTTTGTATTTTGTTTAACTATGATCAATAAAAATTTATACAAAAATATTAATTTCAGTTCTTAAAACAAGAAATTCCTCTTACAAAATAAAATTAGCACTTCTTCTAGTGTTTCTAGTGTTTCTAGAGTTTTAAAACCTTATAAAGTTTCGGATTCGAATTTCGAAGATTTCAAAATTAGTTTTGAATCCATGTATAATTTCTATATTAAATGTATTAATAATCATGTGATGAATGACAAATAATGTTAGAATTTATTGATAGGTATTAATGGATTTATTTTATCAAGATGATTATGTAGAAAGTCCACAAAGTGGCTTAGGTGCAGTAGTTTCTCAAACTTATGAAGAATCTGTTCGAGATCTTATACACGATGAACGTTATTATTTACGTGATCTCCATATGATCATTAAGGTAAAATAGTTTATTAATCGTATGAAGCGAAATTGTTTACTGTTAATCCATGAAAAATATTATTGTAGGTATTTCGAGAAGAAATTGCAAAGCTAGCACAAGATAGAACTGAAATTGAAACACTTTTCAGTAATATTATGGATATTTATGAAGTCACTGTAACGTTACTTGGTAGTTTAGAAGATATAATGGAAATTACTGAAGAGAAACAAACACCCACTGTTGGCTCGTGTTTTGAAGAATTGGCAGAAGCAGCGGAATTTGATGTCTATATAAAGTAATGATTAGTTTTATTAATTATGAAATTATTACACACGTAATGTGTGCGTGCGCGCGTGTGTGTAATATGTGTAATATGAAATATTCTTTTTGAAGAATAGAGTGTTTCATATTTCATATTCTATTCTTTGAAATTTCTTTTTTTTCAATTATTGAAAATTTTAATGTTAGGTATGCAAAAGATATTAATAGTCCAGCTAGCCGAGAAGTTTTAACAAATTTATTATCAAAACCTGAAGCTAATAATGCGTTAAGAGCAGCAGGACATGGTTTTAAAGAAGCTGTCAAATATTATTTGCCAAAACTTTTATTACAACCAATATGGCATTGTTTTTTGTATTTTCATTACATAAAGGTACATTTTAAATAATTTTATATTTTCATATTATTACACATGTTATTCTAATAACTGAATAATATTTTACTTAGGTATTACAAAAACGTACACCAAATATAGAAGACGGTGAAACATTGGAACAAGTACAAGGTCTTTTAAGTCCATTACAGATGGAATTATTGCAATCTATGGCAAGTCTTCCAAAAAAAGATACAGGTCTGCGAATGCAAAGTAGAGCAAGGAGGCAAGCGGCGCTAGAAAAAACTAGTGAATTACAAAAAACTGTTGATGGTTGGGATCAAAGAGATGTTGGACAATGTTGTAATGAATTTATACGTGGTATGAAAAAAAGATATAGTGTTATTTAATTATTTTTCCATGTAAGATATATAGAAGTATGTTTTCATTATCTTCTATATACAGAGGATATGTTGTGGAAAGTAAGTAATGGAAAGAGATTAACGGAACGAAGAGCTCTTCTTTTCGATGGTTTATTAGTTCTTTGTAAACCAAGTGGTGGCAAAAGAGTTAGCGTTACTGCTGCAGCAGTTGGTGTGGTAGGTCATCCACCTCACCAAGGTGAACTGCGTTTAAAAGAAAGGTTTTTTATTAGAAAAGTTGATATTATTGATAGAGAAGATACTGAGGGTAAGTTTTATAAAATTTTGGTATTAAATGTTATAATTAAATGTTATAAATTAATATAATTAATTTATTATTAAAATTATTAAATATTATATAATTATATAATAATTTTAATTATTGTACATATTATTATATATTATTTTTTTAGAATTAAAAAATGCCTTTGAAATTGCACCAAGGGACCATCCTAACGTTATCCTTGTTGCAAAATCCGTCGAAGACAAAAATAGTTGGATGGCGGATCTTGTAATGTTGAATACAAAGAGTATGTTAGAGAGAACTTTGGACAGTATCCTTTTAGATGAGGAAAAAAAGCACCCCTTAAAGTTACCTCCACCACATTTATATAAATTTGCTGAACAGGATAGCTCAGAAAATATTGTTTTGGAAGCAAGAGAAAATGGAGGTGTTCCATTAATTAAGGGAGCAACTTTGGTCAAATTGGTAGAAAGATTAACTTATCATATATATGCCGATCCAGCTTTTGTACGAACATTCCTTACTACTTATAGGTATATTAATTCATACGCTTGGAATTTATATATATATATATACACAGCATCGGATGTGCAATTGAGAAAGGTATAATTCTACATGAAAAATGCATTAGATATAAAGGATAAAATTTTTTTATTTAAAACTTCATTTTTAAAATAATGAAGTTTAAAAATTTTATCAACAATAAATTTAGTTAATTGTAGATTAACACGTTGAATGGGGGTTACCAGTGACTGGAATTTAATTTGCCGGTAGCGCCACGGGGACCACCGGTGACTGGCGATGCTATTATATAAAATTAGAAATATATAATTCGAGTGAATGTTAATACTTCTAAATTTTTCAATATTGCAGCTTTGTTACACTGCAATAATGTGAAATTAATGTAGTATAGAACATACAAAAATAATTTTATTTATAATATGTATGTGTAAATATTCGCGCATGTGATATACTGTATTAAAGCACTACAAACAAAGAAAAGGTAAATCAATACAGTCTTCACAATGTGACGACTTTTTTGGAACAATTTTTTGCTTTTGTTCTATCTAATAGTTTTGAATTTTTTTCATAACGTCTTCTATAAAGTCATTGCTCGATCCTGGTTTTCCTGCCATTTTTTTCATTTCATAGCATAGTTTTCTCTATAGACTTTCATGTGAAAAAATGCAACTCTCAATTCCACTATATCGTAAAAATAAAATATTGTAAAAAATAAATGAAAATCGAAGAAACGCTTTTCAGGACCTGTGTAAAATAAATCCATTAAACATATTTATATACTTTAACTTATCTGTGGCAGATAATATTTCAATATAATATCTATTGTATAATAACAAATATATATTGGGCTAGACATGCAAAATTAGCGTGGCATTGAACGTATTAATAAAAAATAAATAATATTGAGAAAGTTATTCTACATATGAAAATAACTTAAAGATCTAAAATATAATTTTTTCGTAAGATGTTTCAATAAAATTCAATTTGAAAATTTATCAAATACATATTCAATACATATTCAAACTATTTTTCATTTTTCATTTATTTTTGCAAATAGAATAATCTATTATCTAGTAAATATAATTTAATTAGTCGTTCTTGTTCAATTTACAAATTCAAGATTCATTCATTCATATACCTGACAAATTTTCAAATTTAATTTTTCCAAAAACGACGCTTTAAATAAAAAATTTTATTTTTTGTTTTCTTTATTTTTTCCCACGGAATCATTCCTTCGATTGTACATCTGATACTGAGATACCCTATATGCATATGTATATTTATAGAAATTAATTTTATCTACTAAATTGTGTTCTTCTTTCATAGGAGTTTTTGCTCACCTCAGGAACTGTTGACTTTGTTGATCGAAAGATTCGACATACCAGATCCTTCGTTAGTTTATGGTGAGGAAGAAAAATCTTCTGGTTGCAAAACAACTGCTAGAGAAGATTGGAAAAGATATAGAAAAGAATTTTGTCAACCTGTTCAATTTAGGGTTTTAAATGTTTTAAGACATTGGGTTAGTATCATTTTAATATATTTACACTTACTAAATTATTTTATTATCTTTGTTAAATTATCAAAATATGCTCTTAAATGTTTTTAATTTTAGGTCGATCATCATTTTTATGATTTCGAACGTGATAGAAATCTTTTAGAAAGATTGCAATCGTTTTTAGACACAGTAAGTGGAAAATCGATGAGAAAATGGGTAGATTCAGTAATAAAAATTATACAAAGAAAATGTGAACCTTCGGAACAACGACCTATTACATTTAGTTTTGAACGATCTCCACCACCTATTGAGTGGCACTTAAAAGTTCCTGAAGAAGAATGGGGAATATTAACGGTAATATATTGTAAATACTGTATATAAATGTTTATATTATATAGACAAATTATTTTCCAATGATTACAGTTACATCCAATTGAATTAGCAAGACAATTAACTTTATTAGAGTTTGAATTGTACAGAACTGTAAAGCCTTCGGAATTAGTTGGGTCAGTATGGACTAAAAAAGATAAAGAAAAGACATCACCAAATTTATTGAAAATGATAAAGCATACAACAAACGTAAGTTATTATACATATTTTTAATTTGATAAATTAAATAATTTTTTCATTCTGTAGTTTACACGGTGGCTTGAAAAAACTATAGTAGAAGCTGAAAATTTAGAGGAGAGAATTGCAATTGTATCACGAACAATTGAAATTATGATGGTGCTCCAAGATCTTAATAATTTTAATGGTGTATTAGCAATTGTTAGCGCAATGGGATCTGCTTCTGTTTTTAGGTTAAAATTTACTTTTCAAGTATGTTATTTTATTATCCAACACTATTGATTAATTTAAATGAAGTAAATTATAAATTTTAATATATTTATAGCAAATACCAGCACGACTAGAAAAGGCGCTAGAAGAAGCACGGGAACTAAACAATGGTCATTTCCGAAAATATCAAGAAAAATTACGATCCATTAATCCACCTTGCGTACCATTTTTTGGTAAATAATAAGGAATAAAATATTATCAACTCAAAATATTAAACAATTTTCATTAATGATCTTTTTATATATAGGCATGTACCTGACTAACATTCTACATATTGAAGAAGGAAATCCAGATTATCTGCGGGGAAGTCCGGAACTTATTAATTTTAGCAAACGACGAAAAGTAGCAGAGATAACCGGAGAAATTCAGCAGTATCAAAACCAACCTTACTGTCTTTCAGTGGAGCCTAGAATAAGACATTTCATTGAAAATTTATCACCTTTCGATCCTAATATGAAAGAAGTTGATATAAGCAATTATTTGTACAATAAAAGTCTGGAAATAGAACCTAGAGGTTGTAGACAGCCACCTAGAGTCGTAAGTTTTATAGAAATTATACAAAATACACATGTAATAACATCAATTTTCAATTATTGAAGTATTATTACCTTTGTAGCCCCGTAAATGGCCGGATTTAAACTTAAAATCGCCAGGCATTAAAGCTAGAAGCTTGAGTGGCAAATTACCAGCTCCATTGCAAGCTGTAGCTTCCAGTGTAAGATTACACGATCCTCCATCGGAAGCACCGCCGCCAGAATTACCAGAAACCCCTCCGCACACTTCACACGTTACAATTTCTCACGTAGTGGATCATAGTATTTTTGCACCTGTTTTATTAGGAGGTTTGTATCTTATGTATAATATTGAATTGTAGCATGCGCTTAACAGCTGCTTTTTCATTATAATTCTTATTTCTTTGAGAGAAACAAGAATCATTTTTATTTTGTTGCATAGTATGCTTAGATAGATAGTAGATGTACTTTATTGTTAATATAGGTACAGCTCAGTCGGGTTCACCAGGTCCTTTTAACATGTCAGGACTTTCAATCAGCTCCCCGGGTAGCAGTCCGCAATTAGGATCGCCCGGTCATTTATCTGTTCCACATCATCAACCGCAAAATAGTCTCTTTGGTTTTAATTCCGCTACAATTGGTGTAATGGGAGCTTTGACCGGTATATCATCGTCAGGTGGAAGTCCTGGTGCTGCGATGCCACCTCCTCCGTCTCCTAGCCATGTACCATCCAGTCAACCTCCACCCCCTTTGCCACCAAGATCTCATAGGAAACGAGAGAGTACCATAAACGAATCACTGCAACAGGTAAATTGTCTAAGTGTTTCAATTATTTCATCTCTATGATACATTTCATATCATGAAATTATATAATATCGAATTATATTATTTATTATTGGACACATAGGCAAGACAAGCTCTAAATGCACCTACACTTCCTCCACGAGATGGTACTTCTCCACCACCATTACCGCCACGAAGAGATTTGCCACCGGTGACATTACCGCCTCGGCTACCTACGACATTGAATCCAAGTTGTTCGACGCTACTCGCCAGGCGGAATTCTACGTTGGAGAACACATGTTCATCAAATGCTGTTCATACACGAAGACACATGTCTTTCAATGGGCCTAGTCTTACAAAAGTTCCACCTATGCAACCTAATGGTAAAGATATCAATATCAAAAATTTTATAATTGTACATTGTTATTTTTTATTTACAATGGTTTCATTTACATGGATTTTAGGGTCGGTAATACCAAGATTACCACCAAAACCGTTGCGTCCGCCAACCACCATGTTTAATTTCAATGCTCCTCCTGGATCTAGTTAAGTGTTATATCTTCCTACCTCTCACCTAAATTAAAACGCATCTTTTGGAAATCGAGATTTAGTCCACTCAGAAGGATTAGTCGAGTCGGATGTTCTGCCGGTATGTTTGACAATGTAAAATGCTGTTTACATAGCATTTTTATAGGAAACTTCATAGGAGCACAAGATTTATCCAAAACTCTGTATATTAATGTATTTACCAGGATTTTTCAGTCAGACATTTGAAGCGTAATTGGTAAATACATTAATGTCAAATAGAGTGATGCAACGAAACTTTATTTGCGATATACGGCCCATACGTGATGAGATGCTGTTACATTCCTTTTTACGATTTGTCTTTTTAGTATGTGTGACACTATTTTATTGAAAATTTATTTTTCGAGAGGATATAGAATGTTCTATCGCATATAGTATATTTTTAGAGTTTTTTTTTTACCAAGCGAATATGTAATTAATAAATATAAGGCTTTATATCCTGTACTATTGAATGAACTCAGTTGAAACTGTCTATCTTTGAGAAATACCTCAAAAAAATTTGTACAGCTAAATTTGTACAGCTCGTCTAATTAAAAATGTATTAATCTTTGTTATTTGAATCTACAGAATATTTTTCTAAACAGAACAGAGTTTCTTTGATAATTTTACATATCTGGGTCTCGTATCACGTATAACGCGTTACTTCTAATATACAAATAAAAATAAGCATAGGAAAACCAAAATTATTTCTGCAATAATGTAGCTGCAGAAAGTTTATTAAAAAAAAATATTTTTATCTAACAATCAATCTTGTGAATAACATGTATGCGCATACACATACACACATATATACATTGTATTAAAAAAAAAAAAAACTACTATGCTGCAAAAAGCATAAAAATATAACAAATATCTCTTTGCTACGAGAGTCTCCCCCCCCCCCAAAAAAAAAACAAAATTATCAATGCAACTTTAGCACAAAAACAGTAATGTTACAAGAATATACGCTATAAATGATTTTAATCATTATAAATGAGGAAATGTACGGAGAGTTTCTCCCTTTTTTAAAATTGCACACGAAACGGTGAATTATATATTTATGATTTGCCATTTCAAATGCCTATAACACATGGTATATTTTTCGAAATGATTTTACAAATAAGATAAATATCGCTTTTACAGATTGTTAGGAATGTAGGATACATTTCATCGCAGCCGTTTACCGGAATTGTGGCTAACGAATTTTGATTTAATGCGTCCATCAGATCCGAGGAGATCTGACTGAATGGACTATGTATCGATTTCGGTTGTCCGAAAACAACGGTTGTTTCTTTAAGACAAGAAAAAAAAAAGTAGAGAAAGATTCTTATTATCCCTCAACACAACTGTGATACACTTTTAGATTTTAAAAAGGAAGCAGAAGACGCAAGAAAGTGCAGTATGGAATGAATCATAGGCCAATATGCATATAGAATTATACATATAAATCGAGAATCAATAGCAAAAAAAAAAAAAAA